GCTGACTTACGGGTTGGATAAGATATTATATACTATAATGTTTTATTTTGTATGGCTGACTTACGGGTTGGATAAGATATTATATACTATAATGTTTTATTTTGTATGGCTGACTTACGGGTTGGATAAGATATTATATACTATAATGTTTTCTTTTGTATGGCTGACTTACGGGTTGGATAAGATATTTTTCGCAAGCATTCCTAGATACTTCAAATTCAGAAAGATAACTGTTACTCAGATTTTGCTTTTTTGTTCGAGATTCTTAAGATACATAGATTGTGTTTCACTCTAGTGCCCCCAGCGGAATGTTTGCGGACTTACAATGCTAGAAATCGGATTTCGATACCCGTGGTGAGCAGGTCACAGATAGCCCATTGTGTAGCTTTGTGCTCAACTAGAAAACAAACAAACAAATCACTCTGGTACACAAGAGATAGAGTTAGACTGGTGAGAGATCGTAAATATAGCTTTCCTTCTCCTCACTCGACAAACCAAAAACTTGTTCAAGTGTTTTAATTTTAAAAGTTTGTTTTGTACAAAAAAGACCGTGATTGTCTACACAATGTGTCCAGTCTCTCTTTTTCTTCTTCTTTTTGTCTAAAGATCTAGTCAAAGGAAAAGAAAATTCAAGCACTGTTCTTTAATACTATGAGCATATGAAGAATACTACTGGTTACACTGAGAATACTACAAAAGTAAGATATTAGGGCTATGTGTAACTTATTAATAGCTGAGTTTAACTACAACTGACTTGAAACTGAGAACTTTATGTATTAGTGTCAAGTAAAGTCGGTCCAGAACAGGAAAATACAATTATAACAAACACAACTTATTTCGAATTAAAATTCGATGTAAAATATAGTTTTTATTTGTTTTAGAGCAAAGCCACATTGGACTATCTGCTGTATCCACCGCGGGAAATCGAACTCCGAATTTTAGCGTTGTAAGTCCGTCAACTTACCGCTGTCCCACCTTGGGACCAGTAAAACACAATTGATGTTATTAAACTGGAACTTTAGACGTGAAATCCAGACTAAACTGGAATTTCAAACATAAAAGTCAGTTTGAGAGAACGATACGCAAAAAAAAAAAAAAAAAATCGTTTGTTTTGAATTTCGCGCAGAGCTACACGGGGGCGCTAGCCGTCCCTAATTTAGCAGTGAAAGACTAGAGGGAAGGCAGCTAGTCATCACCACCCACCGCCAACTCTTGGGTTATTCTTTTACCAACGAATAGTTGGGTTGACCATCACACTATAATGCCCCCACGGCTGAAATGGTGAGCATGTTTGATGTGACGGGGATTCGAACCCTTGAACCTCAAATTACGAGTCAAGGGCACTAACCACCTGGCCATGCCGGGCAAAAAACAAAAACAGACCTGGAGTTTATAAAGATAGGAAAAGTGCAACCGGATTGGAAATAAGTACGAAGACAGCGTTACACATGAAAGAGGTTATAACAAAGCTCAGAATTTTCTTTTAAAAAACGAATAAATCAGTTTCATGTAAATCTGATCTTGATATAATAATCTCAAGAATCTAAAATTGGACGAGAGAAGCCGGAAATTTGAGTTTTTAAATTAGGTAATAAAAATATAACGTGTAAAACGTTAATGAATATTTAACAGCCACGAGAGCAGTGGAGTCTGTTTAAAAGGCGACGTGAAAAGTAATATAACTGGTGATTGATTTCACGATACGATGACTTTGAAACCCTGTCGTTTGACCAAGATAAGCGAAGTTTTTATTTGTAAGAGGTTTATTTAAAGTAAAGCTTAATACGTTTACTTTTCTTTCACCCGAATTAATAATTAAAAAAATATCACATTCAGATTAAACAAAATTCAATGGATTCATATTACCTGCAACGTAAATAATTTCTGGGTTACAGTGCGTAACTTATTGACTTGAAATTAGAGTTATGTTGTTAGGATCAAGACATTTCCGGTTAAGTTAATAAAAATGAATATATATATATAACTAAAACTTAAAAGGCAAAACTCCGAGGTCTTAGGCCTAACCTGGAACTGGAATGGAAAGGCTTTAGAACCCAGCTTGCTCAAGAGTCTTTCTTGCATGCGAGTCAAAGTGTAACTTTTTTCTTCACTAGGCACAGGATAGATTTGTTCACTAGCCAGACACAATTCCTTGACGAACTGCAAACCCATAACCTCATCTTCCTCTCTTCCGTATCTGAAAGTGGCAATAATTTGTCCAAAAACCTTCCGGTTTTTCAAGTAATCATCGTCAACTGTGATGACGCCATCTACGAAAACAAGAAAATGAACAATTTTTTTTTTTGTGACAAATGAAAAAATATTATAATTTTTTATGTCTCTGCATATTATGCAACAGCACATACAAAACGTTTGTCTGTTTTTCTTATCACAAAAAGTATCCAAACAAACAATTTTTGTTCTGTTTCATACTGAAAAACAAAAACACAAGAAACGCAAACGAAGTATTTTCATACAGCAAAACAGGGATAGTTGAGGTTTCACATTATCGTTTGTTAGAGTATAAAATATCCAAATAAACTGTTTTAATTTGTGTTGTACACAGAATCGCAGAGCAGTGTATCGGTAATTCTGGGATTAACTCATTGTTCAATGACTGTATCGGTGACTCTAGGGTTAACTCTTTGTTGAGTGACTGTATCGCTAATTCTAGGGTTAATTGTTTGTTCAATGACTTTGTCGCTAATTCTAGGGTTTACACTTTGTTCAGTGACTATATCGGAAATTCTAGGATTAACTCTTTGCTCAGTCTCTGTATCGGTGACTCTAGGGTTAACTCTTTGTTCAGTAACTGTATCGGTAATTCTCGGGATAATTCTATGCTGATTGACTGTATCGATAATTCTGGAGTTAACTCTATTGATCGACTGTATCGGGAATTCTGGGGTTAATTCTTTGTTCAGCCACTTACTTGCGTAAGTTAGATTTTTTTATTTAAATATATAGTGTTGTGATGCACTTAGCTCATACTCATTGAGTTAAACTACAACATCAAAGGTACTCAGTGAGATAAACTACAACATCAACGGTACTCAGTGAGATAAACTACAACATCAACGGTACTCAGTGAGATAAACTACAACATCAAGGTACTCAGTGAGTTAAACTACAACATCAACGGTACTCAGTGAGATAAAGTGATAGTATTTTTGTGTACCTTTTTATTGTATGACTTATTTGTTATTAGGGACTATGCAACCAGTAAATTCCTAGGCCCGAAACCATGTTGGTAGATAAATAGTTTAGAAAAATGCATTTAAAAACCGACAGTTGATGTCTCCTATGTACTTTACAAAGAAAACGAATGATTTCACTTACTTTATTTGATCACCTATTTAGACTGGTCTGAAATGAATGATATAAAAACAAGTCGGTAATTTGAGGGTTAGTAAAAATCTATGTTCGTTGGTTGTTTGACTTGAATTTCGCTCAAAACTACCTGAGGACAATCCGCACCAGCCGTCCCTAATTTTAAAGTAACAGACTAAAGGGAAGTCAACTAGCTAGTCAACACCACCCTCTCCCACCTCCAGTAGCACAGCTGTATGTCTGAGAAATTACAACGCTAGAAACCGGGTTTCGATACAGATAGCCCATTGTGTAGTTTTGTGCTTAACTCGAAACCAAACAAACAACACCATCCATTGCCAACTCCTTAACTATCTTTACCAACGAGTAGTTGGATTGACCGTTACATTGACGCCTTCACGGCTGAAATGACGAGCATATTTGGCGACGGGTTTCGATCCGTGGGTTGCGAGTCGAGTGCCCTTACCACTAGCCCATGAAATGCCTTGAATCTCTGTTTAAAGTTGGCTTTTCCGCCAATACTTCGTGCTGTGCAAAGCGAATAATAGATTTTTAAAATTAAAAAAGTGTAAAAAAAACGTCCTTAAATTAATTAGAACAATATATTGAAAATATACTGATATACTATAGAACACATCATTGCGTTATTTTTAAGGCCGAAATATTTTTAGAAATTGGAGGTTGAAACATACAGTTCATGTTTTATAGTTTTTAAGTTATACAAACATCTTTTTTTGGTTACGTGCTATTGATTTTAATCAGAATTGTATATTATAAAATGTTTAAAAGTAGACTGGTTCCAATAGCTACCGACGTTTCGCTTGATTGCACAACGTTGGTTATGTACAAGTATCATTACAATTAACCTCAGCTTCCAATAACCTTGTTGATTATATCATAATCTTATCACCAAAAGCAATGAGTGCGTCGCAGTATCAGTAAATGAGACCATCATATTTGTATCTCATCTTCGTTCAATTATATTTTTTATAAAGAATGGTAAATTACCATCACCATAATTTACCATATGAAATGTCTGAATCTTCAAATGAAGTTCCAGCATCATACGGACATTTTGTTGTAGAATTACTGCATACTAGGAAAGATTTACGAAGAACCAGGCAATTTTGATAAGATAATACACGTTTAAGCTCTTAGTGATAGAGAAAAACAAAGCCACAGCTTAGACTTCTTTAAAAAAAACACAAAATAATCTGTTATGAAAGATTCACGAAAAACTAGGCAATTTTAATAAGATAATAATACACATTTAAATTCTTAATGATGGAGAAAAACGATGCAAGAGTTTAGACAGAAGAAACGGGGTTTCATAATCATAAGTAGTAAACAACTCAGAATTTGTAATTACAAAAAAAAAAGGAAAACCTGAACCATGAATATCCTGTTTGTACATGATGTACTGGTACGTTTTCAATGATAATTGGATTATAACATTTGCTTGGTTTAAAACCTTATGTTCTAGGTCTTGCTGTGAAGAGAAACTATAGGTCTTCCAAGAACAGTATAACAATAGATTTTTACTTTTTGTTTTTTGGTTCAAGATGGAGCTCGTAAAATAAGTAAAAATATCCAACTTTTAAAAATGAACAATAAAATAATTGATATATATAAGTTGAAAATAAAATATTCAATTAAAAACTCTACATGTTTCGGTGGGAAAAGTTCCACCTTCTTCAGGAGACCAGAAGAAACACAGGAATGGGCATAGAATGTATTCAAGATGAAGCTGTTCTGAACTTTATATGGTCTGGTGTCAGGGCACTTGACTCGTAATCTGCGTGTCACGAGCTCGAATCCAGTCACCGAACATTCTCGCCCTTTCAGCCGTGAGAAATGCTATAATATTAGAAAGGAGCATAATTTGGTGTTAAGAAGAGGCATAATACGGTATTAGAAAAGGAGCATAATTGGGTGTTAAGAAGGGGCATAATACGGTATTAGAAAGGAGCATAATTTGGTCTTAAGAAGGGGCATAATACGGTATTAGAAAGGAGCATAATTTGGTGTTAAGAAAGGGGCATAATATGGTATTAGAAAGGAGCATAATTTGGTGTTAGGAAGGGACATGTTTTAGTATTACGAACACTACTCCAAACATTTCAGAACAACTAACACATAATCTGAACATTTCGAACGAAACGTCTAATGTGCATGATTATCAGCTTTATGCAGCTTGGTGATCAGATATCTATTTGACGGCAATAATTATTATAACCGAAACAATAAGCTACAAAAATAGCTATTAGCAGTTCGTGTTAAATATTGGATATTAACTGATGATAGATGGTTAGTCGGGGGGGGGGGGCATTAAAACAAACTTTATGATTAAGTTCAAAAACCAAATGACCACAAGTAGGAAAATGCTATCATTCGAATATAAAGCCTCCCCTTCCCTGTGGCTCAGTGGTAGGTCCCAGGGCATATAACCCTAAAAATTGGCACAGACAGCCCATTGTTTAGCTTTGAGATTAACATACACAAACTAATTAGGCGTTAGAGGGCGGTACAATAATTTAGTTCATTCTTGGAATCATTTAATTTTCAGGTTTTCTAATATCTCTAAATAGGAAACTGTTTTACTTATGGGTGTAATTATAGTATATTTTTTGTTATGACTAGTTGAACATATTGTTACCTAACACATTTATTTACTCCTGCCCCCCGGTGGCTCAGCGGTAAGGAAGTGCGCTAGTAACGCTAAAAATCTGATTTCTAAACCCGCGGTGGGCAAAGCAAGGATAGCCCATTATATAGTAAACATTATTTATTATACTATTTGGCCACAAATATTTAAAAGATTACGACTCAAGGAACAACGCCCAAAATGGGATAAATATTTTTACTCCGCTGTTGACGAACTAGACCATTACAGTTCCTTGATATTCTTCATATAAACACATCATGTCTAATTTAAATAAATTATTATTTCTACCACCAGAGACAGAGGAACTGTTTTTTTCGAACCAATCGTGCTAAATTACATATTAACCCGTTGCAGTTGATATATTTTTTTATTATTACAAATTCTGACGATTTGGTATTTACAAACAACAAGAGGTGGCGCTGCATTAATATAAAACTGGAATACATAATTGGTTATTTAAATATATTTTCATGCTTGTATTTTGGGCTGGTGTTTTACTTATACATGCCATTTGTTAAGTGTGATTACTTATGTGATAACTCAGATATTACTAATATTCAGGCCCGGCCTGGTCTAGTGGCTAGCGAGCTCGAAAAGTGAAGATTTTTGTACGGTCCGCAAATCATTTACAAAAATATCGCGCGCTCCGTGGGTGAACTTAAGATTTATCGGTCAAATCTCATTTTTCGGTTAGACAAGGGTAGCCCAAGCGTCAGCGGTGGGCATTGTTTACTAGCTGCCTTTCCCTCTAGTTTATTACTTCAAAAGGGCTATGCTTAGATAGTAAGCATTTAGTAAGCTTCACATAGCTTGAACTGTCACTGTTTACTCGTCATTTAGTAAGCTTCGCATAGTATGAACTGTCATTGTTTACTCGTCATTTAGTAAGCTTCACATAGTATGAAATGTCACTGTTTACTCGTCATTTAGTAAGCTTCACATAGTATGAACTGTCACTGTTTACTCGTCATTTAGTAAGCTTCAAAATGACGAGTAAACAGTGACAGTTCAAACTATGTGAAGCTTACTAAATGACGAGTAAACAGTGAGTTCATACTATGAGTAAGCTTCACATAGTTTGAACTGTCACTGTTTACTCGTCATTTAGTAAGCCTCACATAGTATGAACTCACTGTTTACTCGTCATTTAATAAGCTTCACATAGTTTGAACTGTCACTGTTTACTCGTCATTTAGTAAGCTCCACATAGTTTGAACTGTCACTGTTTACTCGTCATTTAGTAAGCTTCACATAGTATGAATTGTCATTGTTTACTCGTCATTTAGTAAGCTTCACATAGTATGAACTCACTGTTTACTCGTCATTTAGTAAGCTTCACATAGTATGAACTGTCATACTAAATACTAAATATTGTAAATATTCTGTTAACACAGAAACATATAGCAGTCTGACCGTCAAAATTATATATTCCCTTCCAGACTTGGCCTTACCTAATTGTCAGCATTCCCGAATTGTTAATCCGAGGATTGCAGGTTCACTTTCCGTTGTTCCCAAAATCGGGTTATTCATTTTTGGACTGTGTGTGCGCTATAAGGGTAACAATCAAATACCACTTTTCGGCTGGACAAGAGTAGCCCATGAGTTGGTGGTAGATGCTATTGGCTAGTTGTCTTCCCTTTAGAATATTGGTGCAAACTAGGGACAATTATACGCAGATATTTCTTGTCTAGCTCTGCTCGAATCTTCTAGAAGACAGTCTATTTCCTTTATTATGGGTCGAATCTTCTAGAAGACAGTCTATTCCCTTTATTATGGGTCGAATCTTCTAGAAGACAGTCTATTCCCTTTATTATGGGTCGAATCTTCTAGAAGACAGTCTATTTCCTTTATTATGGGTCGAATCTTCTAGAAAACAGTCTATTCCCTTTATCATGGGTCGAATCTTCTAGAAAACAGTCTATTCCCTTTATTATGGGTCGAATCTTCTAGAAAACAGTCTATTCCCTTTATATGGGTCGAATCTTCTAGAAGACAGTCTATTTCCTTTATTATGGGTCGAATCTTCTAGAAGACAGTCTATTCCTTTATTATGGGTCGAATCTTCTAGAAGACAGTCTATTCCCTTTATTATGGGTCGAATCTTCTAGAAGACAGTCTATTCCCTTTA